AATTTGCATAATTAGTTAATTTTTTGCTGTTCTATGGCTGTTGCACTGATGTCTAAAAACCACTCATTGGATTTCAATGAAACTTTTAAAGAGTACCATCACATTTCAATGAACCTAGGACTATACACCATATTAGTTTTGGGTAAATATTTATGCTTCTTAATCACCTAATTAACATAATTAATTAATACTGATATCTCAAGTATTGATCATCACATTTGAATAAAACTTGGTACATAAATGCTCTAGGACAATAGACAGCCTGATTAATTTTGGGTTAAAATCTGTTCATATTAATTTTCTAATTAGCATAATAATTAATATTTTGTTGGTTCTAATCACATTTCAATGAAACTTTGTACATTGTGCAGACCTTATTAGTTTTACACTTAAATCTGTTCACATTAGTTACCTTATTTGCATAATTAGTTTTCTGCGTTTCCACCAACATCTCAAGTTCAAGTAATTTTGATTTAATTTTTAATGTGTCTCCAACACACGGGAGTTCTTTCTAAGCTTTCTTTGATTGTCATTTTTGGTAAAAAGTGATATTTTCGACTTCTTGTTAAAAACCGCAAGTCCAATTGCTTTGATATTACATATATAGGTACTACATGTGGAACTCTCTCAGATTTGTTCATTTCGTGATGATATCTTCGATTCTTTATTTTTGGTGAATATTTTTGTAATTTTTGGTAAAAAGTGATATTTTCGACTTCTTGTTAAAAACTGTAAGTCCGATTGCTTTGATATTACATATGTAGGTACTACATGTGGACCTCTCTCAGATTTTTTCATTTTGTGATGATATCTTTAATTATCTAATTTTGGTGAATATTTTTGTCATTTTTCGTAAAAAGTGATATTTTCTTCTTGTTAAAAACCACAATCATTTATGGTGAAAACTGATATTTTTGAATTCTTGTTGAAAACAGCAAGTCCCATTGCTTTGATACTATACATATTGTTCATTTTCTAATGATATCTTCTGTTCTTTAATTGAAATGTGCATCGCTAACAGCGGAGCTACATGTATCTCAGCCGAGACGCTGCTTGTTTTTTTATTATTATTTATTGGGAACGAAAAGTCTTTATCGTAGTGCTTCGCCTCGGTTGACAATGAGCTCTTCGGGTCGCTAAAACTGTATGTCCACCTTTGTTGGGGTGAACATTTGTATTATTATACTGAATAAATCTTAGAACAGAAATGGTGGCACTCAATCATGACAATCTTCCAGGTCATCATTAGAAAGATTTTCGGAGGCAAATTTAATCTTGAAGGATTGCAGGAAATTGACCCTTACCGGGATTCAGGTACCATAGTGTTTGTAACAGGAAAAAAAACGCTTTCGCGTGGGATTTTTCATGCAAACATTGTGAATGGTTCCCCGACACTGATTCCTTTTTAACTTTCAATTTTTCTAAGACGCGGCAAACCCCGCTCATAACCGGAGACGTCGTTGAGATGCAGGTGCGATTCCTCTTAGCAACGTGTTCTATTTATTTCCAAAGCGTGTGGTCGGCGCCTTTGATTGCGTTTATTTTGTTCTTTTATTCACGTAATCTATCGCTGGCAGCGTTTGTTTTGTCGCGTCTCACAACTTAATGTCCAAGCTGACTTTGTTTTGGCTGTAAGTGAACTACGTACAGCTCGTGA